CGACCTATTGTGTTCTCAACCAGTGCTCTCCACCGCTTGAAAATATCGAATGCCTCATTCTTATGCTTAAGAAAATAAATCCAAGCATATCTAGAATGATCATCAACAAATGTAACAAAATACCTGGAACCACCTTTGGAAGAAACTTTAGCCGGACCCAAAACATCCGTATGCAAATAGTCTAACAATCCTTTGCTCTTGTGCTTGCTTGTAAAAAACTTCACCCTGTGTGCTTTTCCATACACACAATGCTTACAAAATTCCAGTTGTGGTTTCTTCATATTATTCAACAAACCTTGTCCACTAAGCAATGATAGACCCTTTTCCGACATATGCCCAAGGCACATGTGCCATATCCTCGTGCATTCTGTTTGTTCTTTACTTCCACCGATTCCACCAGCTAAATCCCAAAAGAGGATAAAGATTACCGTGACGAATTCCCTTCATCACTACCAAAGAACCACAAACAACTTCTAAAACTCCATTCTCCAAGACTATTTTGCAACCATTTTTCTCTAATAAGCTAAGAGAAATAAGGTTCTTCCGCAAATCTGGAATATGTCTCACATCCTTTACGGTGTGTTTGGATTGAAGGAGATGGAGGGAAAGGAAAGGAAGGGAAATAGAGAGATAAGATATTTCATTTGGATAACAAATCAGGAAAGAAGGGAATTGTGGGGAGAGAAATTGAGGGATTAAATTGCAAGAAATTTATCCCTCCAATAAGGAAGAGATTTGGAAGGAAAACTCACCATTCTTCCTTCCCCTCCCTTTACCTCCCCTTCTACTCGCCTCCTTCCCTTTCTTTTCCTTCCCCTTTATTTATCCAAACACAGTATTAAGGCTATTATTGTTCCATCATGCATCTTGACTCGGATAGTCTCTAACCCGACAGTCTTTCAAGCATGATCATTTCCCATCAGAAGATGTAATGAACATGCTGCAGGGTCAGGCCTTTCAGATCAACAGTGTTTGGTTGAAATATATTAAAGATAATTATAAGCCCTCTTTCCTGTCGAAACTAGGACCCTTCTTCTGTGAGCTAGGTCTATGGTTGCTACTTTTCTCGTCTCAACTGCAGAAAAGTAGTGCGGAGAACTAGTCAGAATTGTGCCTGCCATGGATACTGTTGTACGAACATCAGATGCTGGGTATCTCACGCGCAGGCTGGTCGAAGTAGTTCAACATATTGTTGTACGTAGAACAGATTGTGGCACCACGCGATCGACTAAAAAGGAAGTCGCCCGTTGTTGGTTCGAATCCAACTCACGCTTCACTCGGAAAGCATGCACAGATGTGAAGGAACTTTGAATTCACTTCCAAGCTTGCTTCTTTCCTTATTCCCTCAGGTGCAGCAGATCCAGCTCTAGCTAGTTCCTCCGGATGATGATTCCGATCATAGCTTAGACTCTTCTTCTTTCGCTGTCTTCTTTGGAATTTATGCTTGCTCCGCGAGTCTGCCGTCTCCGCGTCTTTCCCTTTTGAGGGCTGCTCTACCTCCTGCTCACCCTTCCTCCTCCGCTTTGAGAACCGTGTGAACGGAGAGGGACCTTTCTTTTTAATGAATCTATATCTGTGCACGGAAGTTGCTGGCCGGCGGCCGCTCAACTGTTCGAGCGCGTTTTCTATTCATAAATATAAATAAGATGACAAGAGCACCCATTTCACGAAAACACCCAGTGTGAGACGCGAACGCGCAGGTAACGCCAGTTGGCGAACAGTTCACCATCCAAACTTTGGTAAGCTGTAAACCACTTCCTGTTTGGGCACATATGGTGCAATGCACCTTGATTAAGCATCCATTTACTGAATATTACATTGCATTGTTCTGAAACTAAGTAACAATAATCATCCTCGTCATTTGAGACGAAATTAGCTTCATGTTTCTCATGTTGTTTTCCTCTAGAGTTGCCGTTGCTATTCTTCTTGAATATTACCCTCTTATTTGGGCAATTAGCTTTAAAATGACCAAGCTCACCACATTTGAAACATGGCCTTTCCGCAAGAGGTTTAGATTTTGATCTAAACTTTCCTCCCTTGCCTTGCCCACTTTCATTAGTCCTTCCTCTTGTGTTCTCTTCCATTACTAGACATCATTTCGCTTGTAGCAACCTTTCGAAGGTCGCGATGTTCTAGTCTCATCCATGGTTAGAGTATCACCCACAAGCATCAATATTTGAACCAGATTTTCATATAGGATTTCGGTAATGAAAGCAATAACATGAGTGCTTGGTCTTCCTCATCGACCTTCTTGTCAATATCCTTCGAGTCTGATATAATCCTATCAAACTTATTAATATACTCCAGTGTCGAGGTGCCTCATCCATCCATCTTGCATGTATATAATTTGGATTTTAAGTAGATCCTATTTGTTAGAGTTTTTGTCATGAAATTAGTCTCTAACTTTGTCCACACGCCAGCGGCCGTTGCTTCTTCATTTACCAAGAATGCAACGTCCCTCTTAAGGCATAAAATTATAGTCGCTCGTGCTTCAAGATCTAACTCTTCCCAATCCTCATCCTTCATATCCCTAAGTTTTTGTTCATTTCCCACCAATGCCTTGTGCAACTTTTGTTATACAAGCAAATTTTTCATTTGCATCCTGCAATAGGAAAAATCATTTTTACCATTGAATTTTTCGATTTCATATTTCTCTAACTTTAACCGTTAAACTAGTAGATGTCATTACAATTAATTTCAAAATTAAAAAAAAAAATAGCACTTAAGATTTTGTCGTCGGCTCTGATACCAATTGTCAGAGCTCTCACGTCGGCTCTGATACTAATAATATGAAACCGATACCTTAAAAAGATAAATAATATTTTGGGATTGACAAATAACAACTATGAAGGAAATGATAATATAAGAAAATAAACTTTCTTAATAGTAATAAGCTTTGACGTAAATAGAAAAATGATTGAATTCAATTCTACATCTACCTCAAGACATTTTAATATAACTTATAAGCTAAATAAAGAAAAGACAATTAACAGAACATGTTGGAAACAACCTATAATGTTTTTCTCATTCCCTTCTCATATGTCTTCTCTTCTCCTTTCACTTTATTTAACCCTTCTTAAATTAGACATAATTAATTTAGTAATTACACACATATTCCCACACACCCTTTACCTCTCCTCCTATCCATCTTCTCCCATCCGCTCCTATTTATCCCATCTTATATATATATATTTTTTTAAGGAAAACTATTTTTTTTCTATTGTGTTTTCCCTTAAAAATTATTTTCCATGAAAAATCATTTTCCCAAAAAAATGTTTTTTATTAAAACAAACAGAGCCTAAAAAAAAGGGAAAAAAAAGGAAATAAGTAAAACAAAGATTTCCTTAAGAAAATAAATAAGGAAAATAAGATGGAAAAGGAAAGAGAAGAAAAAAAGAGAGAGAATTAAGCCAAGATACGTAGACAATTTGTCACGCCACGTAATGATTGGCACGACTCGCTAAATATTGTTGTATCACGGCAAATCTAGGATTGAGTTTGGAATACACACCTCTAGCTCTATATTCCTATTATCCTTTGTATTTGGATCTAGGATTGAATTTTAGCTTTCTAGAATAGAGTTCTTAGGAGGTGTGGGCGTTGTGAAGGTCACTAATAATTATTAGCAGTTCATAGTTTTCCCCCTCCTAGTTTCAGAGGGGTTTTCCACACAAAATATTGTTTATCATTGTCTTTGCATACCTCTAATTCGTTCATTTAAATTTTGTTTATTGTTTGTATTTTTGCTTCTACTATTCTCAATAGAAACAGCCAATGAGTCTTTTTCATGAGGAATATTTAGTCCAAGTGAGTCATTCCTAGTGTTGTATTGATCATAAGATGTTGAATGTGCATAACCTAAATCCAATTAGAAGCTTCTTCCGGGAAATACCATCAAAGGTATTCATTCAGAGTTCTTGTTTGTTGTTCTTGTTTGTTGTTGGTGAAGAATCTTGTCTCAAATGTAGGATTTTGGGTAATGTGGAGAGTAAAGAGCTTGACATTAATCTAAACCTTAGTGTTGGAATTTTTTAGTGTCCAACTTTATTCCTCAACTAAAAAGTCCAATCAGCATCAATTTAAATCTTGATCGTTAAGTTCAATATCCTAAATTTTAGCGAAGCGAGAAGGTGAAAGAGAATAGGAAATGGAGGAGAAGATGGGAAGAGAGAATAAAGACTGAACATAGTGGTAATTGAGGCCAGCATGGCTGGACAGGCTGGTTATTGATGATCAACAATGAAAGAAGAAGGGAGGAAAGGGAAGGTTCTCTGGATCAACATTGTTATTAATAACAATTAAGGCAATGGCAGTATGGCATTTAACTGAAATAAATGACAACTGGATGGAATAATTCAACTGACAGCAATGTTTGTCAACATAAAATATAAAAACATAAAAAGAGGGTTAAATTGCGGATAAAATATTTTCTTCATTCATATTCCTTTTTCCCCACTCATTTTCTACCACATGTTCAATCAAGGATAAATAAGAGTCATACAATGGTTTAATATAATGATGGTAGCTTGATTTAAATTCTTTCATTGACATTACTATACGGCAAGAAGAAATACACGACTGTAACAAATTTTGCTAATTGCATCAATGCGGTCATTTTCTCTCTCAAAAGTAAAAACCACTTGAGGATCATATTGAAGTTATAAATTAAGACCATAATAATTACAAAAAAAAAAACAAAAAAAAACAAAAAAAAAAAAAAAAAAAAAACACTCCAAGGCTTCAGTGGTAATATCAAAATTGAGTGGGAGAGGAATACAGCAATTCTGATTCACATAATGTACACTCACCCACTTTATAAATATAAAAGCTTATCCAACTGACCTTTGAGTAACTATCAGCAAAAGCGCGAGCACGGTTGGGCTTATCTTGGAATTGTAAATCAGCCATCTCAAGTTTCCCATCAACGAAAGTCAATCCTCCATCATTGATTGAAAAACGCAGAAGATTACCTGGACTTAATCCTGACTGAAAAAATTAAATCAATGACTGAATTAAAAAATACTTCCAACATCATTATCAGCAACAAATGACTACAGTAGCACAGAAAAGAATACAAATAAATGATACATCATTTAACATATAAATGGCCACACAAAACAAAATTATCTACAAAAAAACTCATTTTGAATCTGTCTAGCCAATAGAACAGAATTGTTTCTGACAGATAATATTAGATTCTCAGAAGCATCCATGAATGTTCGCCTTCCTTGCCAACAATACCTGATGTGTTAGCAATCATGTCACAGCTCACAGGAATATGCTTGATGTCTTAATAAATTCAAATTATTAGAGACATGTTTTCTCTTTTTCTCTTTTTTTTCCTTTTAATTCATTCAAAGATCCATGAGACCATGACTAAGTATCTAATAAGAAATTCAGTACACCAATCAGTGATAGAAGTAATAACTAGATAGTTGTTTTGTATAAGCCTGGCACATATTCGGAAAAACAAATGTTCATAATGTCAAACATCGGACCATAGTAGGCAGCAGTTAGGGGCGTTAAGGCTGCTGAATTGGGTGACGGAGGCTTCGGTAAACAACAACAGCCTTATTCACAAAATGATTTGGGGTCGGCTAACATGAATTGTCACAAGGAACCGTACACTATAAAGAAAGTGACATAACAAGAATATCATTTGAAACTTTGAAAAAAGGTGAGTAAAGTGAGCAAAAGAAAGAGCATCCAAGAAAAATTAAGAGAGTTTTGTAAGAGAACCAAAAATAAATTCAAGAAAGTTTTAAAGGAGTTTTAATTGGTGGAGGCTTTGGTAAAGAAAAAAAATATATCTCTTAGTTTAAATTTGCAGGCATTTCGTTCAATTTAGTTGTTCATTCCTTTTCTACTTTCTCTGTTCCACCTGATTGTGTTTAATTCTTTCCCACAACCACCCCAATTCCTTACCCAAAAAAAAAAAAAAAATAAAATAAAAAATTCAATCTTCAATAAATGAGTTCTAACCTTTGCTCTCACAGCTCACCACATTTATTCCTCCATAAGCCATCACTGCCTGATGCTAAGAACCCATTTTTCCTGCATCCCACCACGACCTTCAGTTGATCGGCTTGATCCCTCTCACCCACAGTGCCCCACTTTCTAACCCACTATCACTGCCACTGTAGCTAGAGTCCATCAAAACACCCACCAAATATAATATTCATACACAGTAGAAAAGGAGAAATGCAAGATATAATGCAAGAATATTTCATGGTGGCAGCAAGTAAGGACATTGGTGATGATCAAAGTTCAATCCTGCAGGGTTCAAACTTTACCCTAGCGCCCCAAATATGATATTCATACACAGTTGAAAAGGAGGAATGCAAGATATAATGCAAGAATATTTCATGGTGGCAGCAAGTAAAGACATTGATGATGATCAAAGTTCAATCCTGCAGGGTTCAAACTTTACCCTAGTGCCCCCACCCCCCCCCCCCCTTATCCTTCAAAAGGGTTCGAGGTCTCTACCACCACTTAATGCTGACCAACCAAGCCCTCATTCATCGAGGTGTGCCTGGTGGCTAACAAAAACATTAATTGGTGCTCAGTTGCTCACCGGACACATAGAAAATCTGAAAATGTGAGAGTGAGAGATTAAGTATAAAGGAACCGTGGGGTGATGCAAGACGGGCAGCAGTTGTGAATACAGAATGCCAAGGAAATGAAACTGAGCACCTAACACTCACAGGGGGGAGCAAAGGAGAATGCCAACTGAGTAAGGTGGTGCAAAGAGCGTACATAGTGAGCAGTAGAAGCTAGAAAGGAAGAAAGAAGAGGAAGGGACATAACTCAAACAACTATTTTTTATTTCATGAACTAACACATAAAAAGGAAGACCAAGTACATTCCCAATTGAAATAAGAATTAATTCAAAGTTCCAATTCTAGAATCATGCATCATCTCCTCTTATCTATCTTTCTTCAATCCTTGTCCTAACACTAATGTGAATCAAATGGCCTCTTTACAGGTATTTTTGGAATAAAGACATACAAGAAACTGGCAAAGTATTCAACTTAAGGCTAACAATGAATCCTCTCTGATCAACACAAATAGGAATAATTATCACTCAATTATAATGAAATTCAACATACAAGCTTTCAACTTTAAGCTAACGATGACAATCAGCACTTTTTCCACACAAAGAATTATAAAGCATAAAACAATTATAATGAAATTCATCAATATGAGCTGATGACTGACACCTATGGTACTATCACATTAGACAAGAATAAAAGTGAAATTTCACAAGTACCAAAATGCACATACCTTTTGTTGAAAGTCCTGGTCTAGGCAACCAAATACAACAGGAGGATCATCCGAAGTAATCACCTTTCCATCATTTTGTAGCTCTAAGACCACCTGTTCATAAAGATAATTGATAAGTTTTGAAACACGAGTATTTGAATTACTAGTATAGAGGATTGAAATAATTAGCTCCAAAAGATAAGAGGAGCAACTGACTAATGCATCCAACTTCCAATGTTATCTGGACTAATCCCACTCTGTTTTTATGACTCCCCAAGATTGGGGAAGAATTTATTTAATAATTCAAATTCATCCTATTTCCGACCCACTGTACGCATCAGAACACAGCCTTTCTACATGGTCACAAAGAGTATCTTTCCCCTTAGTATGTTCCTTTCTAAGATGCAACAACAACAACAACAACACATAAAATGACCAAATAAAAAGTTAAAATATTCAGACACTTGCTATTGACTTCCTAGCAAAATCACATCTCATAAATCCCGACACATCAAAAAAAATCTCTAAACAACAAATTCAGAAGATAGAGTTAAAATATTATGGCAGCAACACAGATCCAATGCCATTCAATGGCACTTCTGGAAGCCAAGGGTTAATAAGGTGAAAATTTTCGAATAATTACCTGTTGTTTGCTTGGCACTTCGCCTTTATTATCTGTATCAATAACATATTGGCTACATTTTTCATCCTTCCAGACTAGCGTCAGCGGTGTATTTCCTGGTTGATAGTGTGCATGCCTAAGAAAGGCAGAAGTACCACATAACTAGGTTACTAAGAGATCCTAATAGGTAAATATATGCAGTCAAACAAATGGAAATTTGAAGGTCATTTGAGCAAACAATTCCAGCAAATAGGTAGTAGAGTCTTACTTGTTATAGAATAAGAGACCATCTTTTACATAAGGTACTTGTCCTGCATATGCTGAGAGCAGTCCACTCTGGTCACAGCTGTATACAGGAACTGGACTAAACCGAAACCTATGATATTGTGAAGGTGGTCTACAAGCATCACTTTCAGCAAGCTTGGAATTCAACCAAAAAAACCTAAACTCCGCATTACAATCGTAAAGAGAGTATCCTGCCCAGCATAACATGTCGATCACATAGTAAGTCTGGTCTACCTGTACTCACATTCATCAGATAAGAGAACAAACATACGCTCAGAATCACAAACATAAATATTAAGAAGTACAACCTCACCTCATGGAATATGCAATCAAGTATACAATACGACTGGCCAGATCCAGAATTCCCTTTTGTTCTGGCTCCACAAGGTAGAGCAGATGGGAAATGATGCAACACTATGCCATTACGTTGTCTACTAATTGTTGTCCCATTGGTGGAAACTACAAAGCATCGCTTCCCAGCTGGCCTAGCTAATACAAACCTGCAAAAATATGTATTCAAGACATAATTAAAAATCAACCAAATAATCACGCATAAAAAATCATACAGTTGTAACATCTAATCCAAACAATTTAATTAGATATCATATTGGATATAGTGAAGCCATGCTCATATGAACAAAGTTGAAAAATCAAACTAATAATTTTTTTGAGGAAAAGATGAGTATACAAATTATTAATTCAATACAATTTCTGCGAAAGCAAACTTTGAAGAATAGTATACAAATAAACAAACTCCGTACAACCACGAGTGTCCCATCTCACGACCATGCTATTCTTTCCCTTCCATACAAGAAGGACTAACAAAAATAGAATTCCTGCCTACTCTTTCCTAACCTCATTAACATTTCTAAAGTACTAAAGTTTAAAAATTCAAAACAATATCCAAAATAATTTAGATTCCAATCATTTTATCATTCCAAGCACTAAACCCTAATAAAACCACTTCACCACCACTACTACCAGAATTCAAAATTAAACCCTTATAAACTCATCTATAACAAGGGGTGTTAAAAAAAAACCCGACCCACAAGACATTCCACCACTAAACCCTCAATTCTTACAAAAATCCACATTAAACCCATCACACAATCAATTCCAAGTAAACCAAACAATACCCATCAACAGAATTTAACTAAAAAATAGAAACATTTCACCCAGTATACAAAATTCAATAAACAAAGCAAAAAAAAACTCGAACCAGTCTTGAGAAAGGCGATCAGGAACATCAATCATCCACTCAGGAAGCATCAACTGACGAGCAAACCAACGACGAGATTCTTGACCACGAAGCTTAGAAGCTTGGCGAACATCCTTTATATTTTCAAGCTGAGGAGCATTCGGATGATCCTCCTGTTCTTCGGGTTCAGTATCGATATCGATATCGAAAGCGTTGTTGTCGTCGTCGACGGCGGAGGAAGTAGAGGGGGTTGGTTCATTGAAAGAGAAGAGGGTGGAAGCAAGGCGACGAGCATGGGATTGAGCGTCAGCGCGGCTTTGTTGTTGGCGGAGGAGAGAGAGTTCTCTTCTCTTTTGTTGGTCGGAGATTGCTGGGCGTTTGTATGCTCGCCGGATTTCGTGCGTCGGCATTGTGTTGCTACGCCTACTACTGCGTTTGGTTTGGGAGATTTGGTTGGAATTTGAAACTCAAATTTTCAAATATTGCCCACATTTAGCAACATTTGTTATAAATGGGTGCTCTCTATTACATGCAACAAATTTTTTTTTCTTTCCTCTTTTAGTAAAATTTAAACTGTAAAAAGATCATCTTACTCTTGCTTTTTGTTTTAATTTTGTTTAACCTTAAAGAGGTTCTGTTTTGATATTACCACCCATTAAAAAATTTATTTTAAATTACCACCCATTAAATTTGAACAATTTTCAAATTACCACCTTTTTTGGATTTTCGTTGAAAATTCCGTTTGAGGGCCCCACATAACGGCTATAAACGGCTAATTTCACTATTTTAACTCTCTCTCTCCCCGAATTCTGTTGTTTAGAAATTGTACAACTTCAAGTAACAAATTTTGCCCCAAATTTCATTCAAAATTCCTCAAATTTCAACTGCTACTGTGAGAAGAAGTTATCTACTGAAGATCGTACACTCAATTTGCATCAAAGGTATGATTCCACTACTTCATAATTTAGGGTTTTTTCGCCAATTTAGGAATCAGGGTTCATGAGTCAATTAAATTGGGGGTTTTTTGCAATTAGGCTATCTGTTTGCAATTAATTGTGCAATTTTGTTAGAATTCTGCTAATTGGAGTTGATGTTGTCCAAATTTGTTGAATGATTGTTTACTATGTTGAATAATTGTATCTTATGTGTTGTGTTTTGCGATTGAAAGAATTGAATGATTCATAGTTGCATGAAGTTGTAAGCTTGTTCTTTTTCTTTTTTTGTTTTTGGATTATGTTTTGCAGAAACGGAGGAGTCGCCATTGACATTAGCAATTGACAGGAGCTTCAACTATATGCTTCTGGTCCCATAGAACACTTCGAGATGGCGCAATCAACAGTACATGCAAGTACAACCAAAGCATTCAATTTGCAGAAAAAAAAAAAAAAGTAGAGTTAGGGTTTTGATTCAATCCTAAATGGGTAGTTGAGAATTTGACAGAGAATTAAAGGAAGAAAGAGGGAAAAAATTTTGGAAGAATTAAGTGAAGGAATTGAGGAGAGATGAAGTTTTTAGAGTTTAATGTAACAGTCAGAATGTAAGTTCGAAGAAAAGAAAAAAAAAAGGAGGGAAGTTAATAAGGTGAGGCCCACAATCGGAAATTCCACCGAAAACATAAAAAGGTGGTAATCTGAAAATTGTTTTAATTTAATGGGTGGTTATTTAAAATAAAAGTTTTAATGGGTGGTAATTTCAAATTAGGACCCCTTTTTGGGTGGTAATTTATAAATTTTCTTTTTTTTAATTAAGAAAACTTTTGAATACATCCTGTTTACACTAATATTAGTGTACATCGAGCAGTATAAGGGTAACTTTTAACTTATTTTAGGGTAACTTTTGTCTTTTTTTGGGTAACTTTAAACATAATACGATTTTTATATAAATCAACAACAAGAAAAGTTTTATAAAGGTAATTTAATTACATTCAATCACTGATAATTGATTTTTAGTCATTTAAAATTTGATTCTTTACTAATAAAGCGTAGATAATTTTTATTTGAATTGGGTTACTTTAACTCATATTGGGGTAACTTTTATTCATTTCAGGAGTAACTTTTAACACTTTAGGTTATCTTTATAATGGATGTACAATAATTATTGTACACCCAATTTTTTTAAAAGTTTGTGTTTTCATTAAACACCGGATTAGAGATTAATCATTATCATATATGTTTATAAAAGTTTAATTGCTCTTTTCTTCTTCTAATGTATTGAAATGAATATGTTAAAGTAATCATAAAACAGACATTTAGAAAAAATAGAATTAATATAGTTTTGTATGTGACTAAAGAATTTATTATTAATACCTTTTCATCAAGAAATACTATCTCAATACTATTATTGTCATTTGGATTATCAAAGCTTAGTGGTTTCCATAAGCATATTATTCATATCTTAATTAATTATCATATTTTTCTTCACTGAAGTTATATCTTCAATGAACTCATAATGTTGTGCAGATATTCTCATATATCCTGCATGATTAGAAAAGTGTCTACCGAATAATCATAATAATTGACATCAATATGAGTAAAACTAAATTACAAATTGAAATATGGAAGAAAAATATTTTCATGCCTTCAAATACATAAAACACACATTGAACAAAGGTAATATTGAAAAAAAAAATGCAACATATAAATATATATATTAAAACAAAATGTCCATCACTTTGAATGATTATTGTGTGTTTTATTTACACTTAACAGAAGAAATTTAAGATAAATAGTGTTTTTTTTAATTGCTCTTTTCTTCTTCTAATGTATTGAAATGAATATGTTAAAGTAATCATAAAACAGACATTTAGAAAAAATAGAATTAATAAAGTTTTGTATGTGACTAAAGAATTTATTATTAATACCTTTTCATCAAGAAATATTATCTCAATACTATTATAGTCATTTGGATTATCAAAGCTTAGTGGTTTCCATAAGCGTATTATTCGTATCTTAATTAATTATCATATTTTTCTTCACTGAAGTTATGTCTTCAATGAACTCATAATGTTGTGCAGACATTCTCATATATCCTGCATGATTAGAAAAGTGTCTACCGAATAATCATAATAATTGACATCAATATGAGTAAAACTAAATTACAAATTGAAATATAGAAGAAAAATATTTTCATGCCTTCAAATACATAAAACACACATTGAACAAAGGTAATATTGAAAAAAAAAATGCAACATATAAATATATATATTAAAACAAAATGTCCATCACTTTGAATGATTATTGCATGTTTTATTTACACTTAACAGAGGGAATTTAAGATAAATAGTGTTTTTTTTTTACACTTATAAGGCATTGTGGCCAAAAGTCAATTTTTTTTCCAATTAGTTAGTCACTTTTCGTCATTGGTAGTTATTATATTTACAACTCTTTTTTTTTTCTTTTTTTTTAACAAAGCTTATTTTTTGAATTGATATATATAGATTATGTTGTGCAATTTGATAGTTCCGTATTTATAGGCAACCAACAACCGTAGTATGCATTATTATCTAATACTACGTACAATACTTTATCTAATACTCCGTACAACACTTGTAGTTTTTTTTTTAAAAAAAATGATGACATCATACAACAAAATGGTGGGAAAATTTTTAATGAGGAAGCGACACTTAGGATAGGAAAAGGAGTGTATGATGTCAGCAAATTTATGTTTTAGTAATAGTTAATAAATATGGGACCACTTTCTCTCTCCTCTTTCCTACTCATTTTAACTCACTATCACACTTAAACATATGAGACCACTTTATCTCTCCTATTTTCCTCCTTTTTACTATTTAGTTTAAGTGTTAAACCTACCCAAACTTAATTAAACTACACTAAAAGTTTTGCCTAAGAGTCCGTAAAAATTGCCTTTGGTACAAATAATTGTGAGTGAAGGGAGTACAATTTTGTAAGGGAGGTGATACACGTAGACTTAGTTTATGACTTTTATATGCCACATAAACATCCAATGAAATTGCGACGCGTCAACGTTCTAAAAAAAAGAAAGAAAGAGAGTTTAGCGAAAGAGTTAAGCGGTAAAAAGGTGTGAGATTCCTGCCTAAGAAGAGAGCAACGGTAAAAGATGAAATTATGACGCCATTTTGTTAAAAAATATTACTTCCTCGACCAAGGTATGTTATGTAGTTTTAGAAACAATTTCTATGGTAATGGCCAATGAAGTTCTAGTCATTCGTTGAATCGAAACTGAAGTAAGAAGGTCAAAACTTTATTAGGCGACATTGATGGTAAGTTTTTTATCAATTGATCAGGTTTACAATGTATAATTGAAAGTTTTTCTCTTAATTTGACATAGTTGTAGCGAGTAAATTAGGAAATATGTAATATTTGATGAAAATGGTTTTTACAAGGAAATATAATTGGTTTGAAGTTATAAGGGTTGAAGAAGATATGCTTTTAGTTTTGTAATGGAATTCCAATCCATGGATTTATTTTTGCTAAAATTTGGAAGTTTTTGTTTTGTAGTTAACAATGTATAATGTCTCATGAGTTTTTAAAATTATTTTTAAGCAATTGTAGTGAGGTATTAATTTTTTTAGTATAAATATAATTATAGTTAACAATGTATAATGTCTCATGAGTTTTTAAAATTATTTTTAAGAAATTGTAGTGAGATATTAATTTTTTTAGTATCAATATAATTATAGTGGTATATGACAGGCTAAAGTCGTATCACCTAATCAAAAGTTATTCCTAAATCCTCTAACTTATGTAGATAGGGAAGTAGGGTCGAATCCACAGGGAAACTGATCTTTCTATTCCTAATTAATTTAAGCAATCTAAATTATCAAGTAACAATTTAATAATATGGATATAAAACTAAACTACGGAGATTAAGATTAAAGAGAAAACAATGAATAAAGGCCTAGGGCATAGGTTCACCAATAAATAACATTCTAGGGTAAAACATAATAATCAATCATCAATGCATCAATTAATCAGATCATAAAGGGCTTTCGCTACGTATTGCAATCACAGAATTAATCTACCGGTATTAAATCTCATCTCTCGAATCTCGACTTAACCATTTATAAATTAACCTGCCTACTATTGAAACTAGTCCTAAACATCAATTCTCATCTCTCGAATTAATATTGTCAAACTCATGCATAAAAGATCAGGCCTAATCTAGTCACAGAGCATTAAATCAATCAATAGGAAATTAATCAAGCATTGATAATCAACAACAATAAATTACCCCTTCATATTATTTATGGATCCCCACAAACCCTAGAAAGGAAACTACTCACACATAATTAAATCTAAACTAATCAAAGCAATAAAATAAGACATGATCGAAGGGATAAAATAAATAATTGAGATTAAGAGAAAAGAAATCGTTACCAAAGTAATCTGGAATTAAGAGTTGAGTTAAGAATAAAGTTGTAGAGAGAGAAAATCTAAGAGAAGAATTAAGAAAGAGTAAAAGAAGATACTAAACTTGCTTAACTGAAAAGTATTTATATTAAGCAAGAATCCTAAACTAAAACAAACTTAAACGACGCTAATCATCTCCTAAAGCTGACACGCACCCGATCGGGCAGGCGAGGCACTGCCCGATCGGGCCCGCCTTTTTCTTCAGGTGAATGTTTCTCGCGCCCGGCTGGGCGCGAGTTCGGGCGCCAGCTTCTCTTCCTCGCCCGGCCGGGCGCGCCTTTGGGCGGGAGCTCTAATGGCCGGGCGACACTCTTGGGCTACTCCTTGGACT